TGTTGATTCTAAGCTTAAATATACAATAAACACCTTTTTTCTTTTTTTCTTTTTGAAAAAAAAACCAGCCATTATTCTTTTTTATGCCTTTGATTTTATTTATTCATATGTTGAATGTCTCACTTTCTCCATTAGATAAGCCTCACAATTTATAACACAATGAATAATTATTTCTAGAAAATCAAGTTCGTATGAAGGGTATATCTGTAAGCTTCGGCTCAAATTTATATAAATAACTCGACTTTATTTATTAGAAATAGTAATATATTAATTATACCAAAATTTATTATTATTAATCGCATAATTTAATGAATTAAGTCTAAGTCATGGAGAAAACGTTCGAATTATTATTTTAGAAACGAGATAAAAATCCTAAGTATAAGACTCAATGAATTATTTTTATCGAGTATCCAAAAAGTCAGGAATTTATTAATTCCCGAGCGAGCCCAATTTCTGGGCCCATTTAAGTAGGCTATTTTTATTTCGACAAATCGACATAATTATTTAATTATCAAACTCAACTATTTCAAATCGAAACATTTTTAAATTTAGTCGAATATATCTTACCTCAACTCGATTAGTATTTTATATTCGAGCGCGAGTCAAATTATTTATTTAGCTCAAGATTTAAAAATCAAACCCAATAAAAACCCAACACACATAAGAAACCCTAGCCTTTTCTTCATCTATAAATACAAGATTCCCCTTAGCTCACACCACACAAAAAAGAAGATCTTATCCAATCTCAAGAAAACACTATTCATTGTCTCCTCACTTCACAACTTTGGATCCAAGCTTTTTTCTTCAACACCTTCCTTCACCACTACCTCAAGGTCCGGCCGGCCACTTTCCGGCGAGACCTGCACACCGGCGAGCTCCCACGGAGAGCTCTTCCCGCCGGCGGCTCGCACCAAGCTCGCAGCCAACCCTTCTTCCCCGTCGAGCACCTCGCCACCTTCGCAGCTCACAGATCCGGCGAGCTTGCCTTCATACGGCGACAGCAAGCTCGCGACCACCAGCTCGCCGCCATCTCCTCACAGCTCCGACGGCCAGCAACCTTCTTCCAGCTCACCCCGATGAGATCCGCACCACCTTCGGTGAGCCCAGAACCGCCATCGTCCTCCCTTCACGACGAGCAGGCCATCACGACGAGCTCAGCAGTCATCTTCCTCAGCTCCCGTTCGCGAGCCCGCGACCACCACGGCGAGACCCGACCAGCGCGCCTCCTTCCCGCACCTCCGCGCCGGTCCACAACAGCTCGCGACCACCAGCGAGCAGCCTCCCGTCGGCCCGATTTCCGGCGCGTTCACGCCGGAAAACAACTCCACATCGCGACCCGGCACCGGTAGCTTCAAACCCGAGCCACCACGCGCGAGTTCGCCCTGCTTCAGCCCGATTTCCGGCGAGTTCCCGTCGGAAAACCACAAGCTCGCGCCCAAACGCCTCGGATTCGTGGCCAACGGTCCAAGACCACCTCAGCAGCTCCAAGATCCGAGCCCAGCTGCACCAAGCACCCTCCACGCGCGCGAGCTAGCCCGGGACAGCACCTTTTTTCGATTTAGTTGAGCGGATCCGTGGTCCACAACACTCTATCAGACTCGAATTGCTTCTCGACCCATTTCTTTAGCCGATCTATTTCCAATCTACCCGATTTCGAACAATTTGAGGTAAAATAGCTTAATCCGGCCTCCAATGGTTTAGACTTGATATTTAAAATGATATAAGATATTGTGAGTTGTTGATTTGAGCGAATTTAGATATATTGGGACATTTGAGCTTGAAGCGATTTTATCAGAATTTTTCAATATATGTGACAAAATGGCGTAATAAATATTATTAAATTCGTCCCATTGACTTGAGGCTTAAGATGTAATCGAATAAATTTTTAGTGTATGTTTGATAGGCGAACGGGTTGTTCGAGTAATTTGACCAGTCGTAGTAATTTCGAGTTGAGTTGGATAAGTGTTGACTTGAGAATTGATATTTTGACCTTGGACTATATGCATGTTGAGGAGATTATGTTTTTAAGTTTCGTGATATTTGGTGTCCGTTCACTATTTTAATCGGAATTTTAAATATGTAGTCGAAATGCTCGGTTTTTTATAAAAATGCTAAAGGCTTCAAAATGCGATGAAATTTTATGAAAAAATCTTACAAATGCTAAATGGGATATGTTTAAAATTTTGTAATTTTTGGAGATTGTTTGGTATGCCTAATAATTTGGGGCTTTACAGTATGCTTGGATACAAAATTATCTCAAAAAAATTCAATCATTTTTAACTCAACTACTTTTTTTAACTCAACTTTAACTCAACCCCACTATCATCAATATTTTACTATAATTAAATAATATCAACCAATCATTTATACACATCACATCAACCTTAATTCACTATTCATCCACTCACATAATTTAACTAACTATCACTTCAAATCATATCTCTCATACTTTTATATCAAATCAACACCAATTATTATACTTTAAATATTATTTTAATATACCCACTAACAACTAACTATACAACTTTTTTCAAAATTAACCAAACCAAACCACAAAATCCAAACAAATCCAAAATTTTTTATATCCAAGCATCCCCTTAGCTACTTTTTATGAAAATACTAGATTTTACTCGGTTGAAATTTAGCTGCAGTTGTTGGGCCTAAAATCACTAGAAATCATGTCGAACTTAGGATTTGAGTTTCGGCTTAAACCGAGTTAGGTAGCCGATTGAGTAGAGAACCCTAGCTCGGCCTTTTCTCGGACAGTCCAGATGAACTCTAGATTCGAGTAGAATAGTTGTGTGTCGGTAGTGCCGTGTCCGTGCGTATGTACCCGGACCATGATTAAATCGAGTTGCACCCAGTCAGACGAGCAACTTACCGACTCAGATCGAGCCGTCGGTCCAGTTCAACCGAATCAGTCCGGATAGTGTGGACGATTTGAGAGTATCAGTTTGGAATACCAGTTTGAGTGTGAACCGAGATTCAGTACCTTTCCGAACTCAGTCAGATCAGTATAAGATAGTTCAGAAAGAATCAGATCAGTCAGATAAGCTAGATCAGATAAATCAGATAGAATCCAGAGTTAGAAATATTTCAAAGAACTCTAGAAAGCCTCAAAGTCAATAAAATTTCCAGAATAGCTCATAAATTCTCTAAATCCAGATTAAATAATTTTATAATCGAGCAAGAGAATCTAGTAAGATCAAATAATAATGAGAATCAAGTTTTCAGTTTGAGCTTAGTACTTAGTACATTTTGCACAAATATGTAGTTTAAGGAAAGTCGAGCCTCCAACAGCTGCCATCATCCAACACTTGCCTAGCAGTAGCAGTTTACCTGGTGGGGGTCACGTACTGGTTATACATCGTCTTTAATTTCCATACCATGTACGAGGTATGTATGAGAATAGTTAGTTCACCATTGAGGGAGTGACGGGTCTTAATGATCCACCGTGGTTCTGAGGGAGGCCTTACAGGCCTTAATGATCCCTCGGAGTGTGCACATGATTTTGCGGCTTTAAGTCCAGGGTCTTTATGGCCACTAGATGACAATTTCAGTTCAGTACTTATATACTCAAGTCATGAACAAAATAGAACGAAATAGTCAATTATTATAGTTTAATAAATTACTCAGAGCATGATTGGATACAAAATTATTTCAAAAAAATCTAAACATTTTTAACTCAACTATTTTTTTTTAACTCAACTTTTCAACCACACTATCATTAATATTATCAATATAATTAAATAATATCAAATCAGTCATTCTTACACACCACATCACCTTAATTCACTATTCATCAACTCACATAATTTTAACTATCACTTCAAATCTTCTCTCTCCTACTTTACATCAAATCATCTTTAATCATTTTATTTTATATATTATTTTAATATACACACTAACAACTAACCATACCATTTTTCAAAACTAACCAAACCAAACAAAAAAATTCAAACAAAACCAAAATTTTTTATACCCTATCATCCTCTCAATAACTTACGGGTCAATATTAACTTAGACGTAAACGAAATAGTCAATTATTTATAATTTAATATATTACTCATTTACTAACTTTTTTATTTGAATAGTTGATACAAAAAAAAAATAGATATTTTAAGTAATGAAAAGATATAAATTTTACATTTATACTTATTATTCAAATAGGTTGTTAAATATATAATAACATTTTACCAAAATAATTATTTTTATAGAATCATGTTATAGTCTAATCAAATTTCTGAATAAAATTATTGAAATGATACCTATTTTGAAATGAAGATAATGTGATTTATTATCAGCTATATGAACCATACGGGTTGTGTACTAATTTCAAATAGACATTTTTATGTAATTTTGTACAATTTAAAATTTATATAACATTTTCAATAAATTAGAATAGGTAATTGTATTACATATTTTTAATTTATAAATATTAGTGAATATCTTTTACCTGTACACTGCACGGGACTCGTACGAGTATTTAAACGTTCTTTCTTTTTATTTTTTTGTAAGCTAATTGTTGGGCGCACACAATTAGTACCATTATCATTGAATCGAGAACTAGCATAGAGCACATGTAGTTACAGAACCGTACTGATGCTTTCCCATCGGTCCACAATTAGGCAAAATACAAGCTATGGTACCCGACCTCGTTCAGAATCTGTATCGGTTCTATGTTCTTCATGATATTTATTTACATCAGAACTTTTGAATCTTGATTCCAAACAAAGAGACGACAATTCATATCACGGTTTACACTTGGTCCGCATGTATGGGGTCAGATCAGACCGTCCACTAGACAGACTTCATATCAATGCATTCTTCAATATTCCAATATGGAATACCATGCTGATCGATATATTACTGAAATGATAACCATTGACCGGCAGCATCGATATTACAGATAAGTTTTCAATTTTTATTACAATGTAAGTTTTCAAGTTTTTTATTTTTTAACTAAGATATTAATATAAATATTATTGACATGATTAATAATAAAAACTTGCCTACAGACGGGAGTTTATGAGGGTGAAATCCCTTTCATATATCACTGATAGAAATCTCAGGATACGCGTACCCTGATTGGCTCTGGACAAGATGGTTGGGGTAGATATTACGTGTGCCAAAACACGTACGGGAGGGACTGGGGTTACCTCGTATACGGGAGTCCGAGAAAATTTAGTGGATGACATGTATGCGGTCGTCGGACCTATCATTCAATAAATTTGCTCCGATTCTCCCGTATCCGAGGTAACCTCAATCCCTCCCGTACGTGTTTTGGCACACGTAGTATCTACCTCAACCATCTTGTCCAGAGCCAATCAGGTGCCGTGTTCTGAGATTCTTGTCGGTGATATGATAGAGTCCACTCTCATAAACTCCCGTATGTAGGGAATTTTTTTATTATTAATCAGGTGAACAATATTTATATTAATATCTTAGTTAAAAAAATATAAAACTTGAAAACTTACATTGTAATAAAAATTGGTCTGTAACGTCGATACTGTCGGTCAATGGTTCCCACTTCAGTCGATCAGTATTCCATACTGGAATATTGAAAATTGCATTGTGGAATATTGAAAATTGCATTGATATGAAGTCTGTCCTTGTAGAAGTCCACTGGATGGTCCGATCTGACCTCATACATGCGGACCAATTGTATACCGTAATATTAATTGTCGTGTCTCTAGTTCGGATCCAAATCCAAAAGTTCCGATGGAAATAAATAACATGAAGAACGTAGAACGATACAGATTCTGAATAAGGTCGGTATTCATGACATGTATCTTGTCAATTGTGGACTAGTGGAAAGTATCAATGCAGTAGCTACATGTGCTCTATTCTTTAGCTCTGGTTCCATAGATAACGGCACTAATTGTGTGCGCCCAACAATTAGCTTAAAAAAAAACGTTAAGGAAATGACGATTAAATACTAGTATGAGTCACCACGGTAAAAGATATTTACTAATATTTATAAATTAATCATATTAAGTAATATTTATAAATTAAAAATATGAAATACAATTACCTATTTTAATTTATTGAAAATGTTATATAAATTTTAAATTATATTAAAATGTCTATATAAAATTAGTACACATCATAATAAATCACATTATCTTCGTTTCAAAATAGTTATCATTTCAAAAATTTTATTCAGAAATTCGATTTGATTATAACATGATTCCATGTTATTACACGATGATGAAGAGGTCTATCCGTATCCACTCCGAGAAGACGGGGAACAAGGCGATTCTGAATATCATTCCCCTCCTAGTCGTGAGTTTCGAGCTTCCTTAAGTCATGTTATTATATTAATGTGCAAAAATTTGAACTTTTTTGTTGGACTCTGTTTGGGCAGGGGAATGTTGGGCTGATATTCACCCGGGGTGATGTGAAGAAAGTCAGTGAGGAAGTTGCTAAGTACAAGGTGAGTTGGTTATCCGCTATAGTTCTTGTTGAAATATAAAGGGTCTTTGTTGATGTATAAAAGGCCTTGTCAGCTGTGATGTAGCTAATTGTAAGTTTCTGTGTGTTTGTTTAGAATAGGATTATACATTTGTGCCTTTTTCTGATGTTATCAGGTCCGTGTAAAGTATCTTTCGGTGTGTTTTTTGCGATTTTGACAATTTCAACATTTTAAAGCTCTGATTTTGATCTTTGTCATTGTGTGGATAAACAAGCTTTGTTGAGATGGTGGAATGGTAAGAATTTACAAAATATTGTTTGTCTGTAGCTCGGTGAGGTTTACTGTTCTTAGACTCTGCAATTGTGAAATGGTAACTTTTGACACAAAGCTTAGAATGTTTGAACACCTAATGCGGCATTTTCCCATGGAGTTTTTCATGGGAAAATTGTATTCACACCCCAATCCAATCCCTATGGGTGCGTGTAAAAATATTTGGTGAAAAATTCCATGGGGTAGTGTGAAATTCACCCTTGAATTTCACTGAATGCATGCACTTGACTCTAAGTAAATGTAGCTCGTTGATTCCGAATTAAATTCATTATACGTGAACTGTAGCTTGAGTCTGTTTCACACCTACTTTGTTTTTTAAAGTGGATTGGATTTTTGTTTTTGAATTTTACTGCCAATGTTTCAGTCTTATTCGAAGATAGTTACAATGTTATTCAATGTAGCAGTCTGTGGAATATGTTTTGGGCAATTGTTTTCTGAAAATTGAAACTACAAATATATAAGGCTGGGTAGCATGGTCATAAATCAGTTATCAATCTTGGTTTCTCTTGTTTGAATTGCACTAATTGTTTTAATAGTCGCATTACATATCACTTACCTTGTTTTGTTTTTCCGATTAACAGGTCGGAGCACTAGCTCGTGTCGGTTTGGTTGCTCCAATTGATGTCGTCGTGCCGCCTGGCAACACGGTCTCGACCCATCACAAACTTCCTTTTTCCAGGTACATCTTCGTTGTCATATTATTACTTCTTTCTGCTCCTTTTTTCGTTTTCTCAATATATTGTATTCGTTGTTTTAGTGGAACGAATACAAGGGTGCAGTCGAAATCATAACCCCAGTCGAGCTCATCAAGAAGGGCGAAAAACTGGGCTCCTCTGAAGCTGCCCTCCATGCCAAGCTTGGTATCAGGCCCTTCTCTTACGGGCTTGTTGTCATCTCTGTTTATGACAATGGGTCTGTGTTCAGCCCAGAGGTGCTCGACTTGACTGAAGATGACCTTATTGAGAAATTTGTTTCGGCTTCTCAATGGTCACCTCACTTTCACTCGCCATCTCGTATCCGACACTTGCTGCAGCTCCTCACATGTTTATCAATGCTTACAAGAATGTGTTGGCTTTTGCTGTGGCCACCGATTATTCTTTCCCTCAGGCTGAGAAATGTAAAATTTGAAAGAAGCAGAACAGATTTTGGGGAGAAAATTTTCTCCTATTGTTTCATTTTCATTACGTCCGTACAATCATGCAAAGAGCATTTATACACATGCATTACGTCTTACAAGCAAAACGACGTCGCATGCTGTTTTGTTTTAATGAAGTAAAAGAAAAGAAAAACGCAACAACTGGAAACACGACTAACTTTAAAATAACAGAAAAATAAAAGAAACAAAAAAAGTAAAGAGAGAGCCTATATGCTAACAGCCCCCCCTCAAGTTGGACATGGGTGGATCATGCCCAACTTGAACAACAACTCACGAAATTGCTTGCCAGGTAAAATCTTGGTAAACACATCGGCCAACTGAGCTCATGAAGAAACAAACCGCGGGAAAACAAAACCAGCCTTGTATTTATCTCGCACATAATGGCAGTCAATTTCTAAGTGCTTAGTGCGCTCGTGGAACACGGGATTGGCCGAGATATGCAATGCTGCCTTATTGTCACACCACAAAGCAATGGGATAGGGCACTTGAATGTGAAAACTGTCTAAAATGAACGTGATCCACTGAAGTTCTGAAACCACTGAGCTCATGGCTCGATATTCTGCCTCGGCTGTAGATTTTGAAACCGTTTGTTGTTTTTTGCTCTTCCAAGAAATGAGTGATCCTCCCAGTTGAACACAGTACCCAGTAACTGACCGTCTGGTATCCTTGCATGATGCCCAATCCGCATCACAGTAAGCTGTGAGAGTAAAGGAGCCATCACAAGGAAAGTGGAGACCATGATCTGCTGTTCCCTTCAAGTACTTCATAATGTGCATGGCAGCATCCCAGTGTGAAGAATGGGGTGCAGTGACAAATTGGCTAAGTTGTTGAACGGCATAGGTGATGTCAGGCCGAGTTAAGTTGAGATAGAGCAATCTACCCACAACTCTTCTGAACTGCTCTGAATTACACAAAGGTGAGCCATCTTCTAGTTGTAACTTCAATCCTTGAGGCAGAGGAGTAGCCATTGTGTGGCAATCCAACATATTCAGGTCACCTAACATGTCCAAGATATATTTTCTCTGAGAAAGAGTTGTTCCTTGCTGGTTCCTTTGGATTTCAACACCCAAGAAGTATTTTGCCTTACCAAGATCTTTAATAGTGAATTCCTTGTTCAAGAAACATTTCAGCTGGTCAAGTAGAGCTGCATTGTTGCTGGTTAAGAGTACATCATCTACATACACCAAGATGGCCATAAAGAAGTCACCTCTCTTGATTGTAAAGAGACAGTGGTCATAAGGTGATTGCACCATCCCAAATGAAGACAGTTTTTTTGTTAGTTCTTTATTCCACTCCCTTGAAGCTTGTTTGAGCCCATACAAACTTTTCAAAAGCCTGCAGACTTGCCCACTCTTTGCTTTGGTATATCCAAGTGGTGGTGTCATGTAGACCTCCTCTGTCAAATGCCCATGCAAGAAGGCATTATTCACATCAATTTGGTGAAGACCCCAACCTTTCATGGTAGCTATTGCAACAAAAACTCTCACAGTTACCAACTTAGCCACTGGGCTAAAAATATCCAAGAAGTCAATCCCCTCCACTTGATTATACCCCTTTGCTACCAACCTTGCTTTAAACCTTTCCACACTACCATCTGCTTTCCTTTTAATCTTAAAAACCCATTTTGAACCAATGGCCTTCTTACCTGCTGGAAGAGTGGTTAATATCCATGTTTGGTTCTGCTCTAGAGCATCTAGTTCTGCTTTCATGGCTGCCACCCAAGCTGGGTGTCTACTAGCTTGTCCATAATGTATAGGCTCCTTCTCAATACTCACATTGCTCATGAATGCTCCCAGATCTGCATTTTCATTGTCTTCATGAACATTTAAATTCTCACATATGTAGTCTGCATGCCACCTTGGTGCCTTTCTATTTCTGTGACTCCTTCTCAATTGTTGGTCCTGTGGCTGCAAAGGTGAGGCATTACTTGGTGAACCCAACTCCTCATCACAATCCTCCTCTGGTAAGAAAAGTGGTAAAGAATTCTGTTGTTGTGGCAATGAAGTTTCTTCCTGTGATAGACTGTTACTGAAGGGAAAAGTTTCTTCCATGAACACCACATCTCTAGCAATGAATATCTCCCTTTCTTCAATGTCATACAGATTATACCCTTTCTTGCCTGCAATATACCCGAGAAAAATGCACTTTCTTCCTCTATAATCAAGTTTGGACTTGTGTGGCCTTGTGTTAGCTGCATAAGCCAAGCATCCAAAAGGTTTCATTCTTTGATAGTCTGGTTGCTTCTTGCACAATCTCTCATATGGTGTCTCCCAATTCAGGACTGAAGTGGGTATTCTGTTAATGATATATGCTGCTGTTTGTACAGCAAATGGCCAAAATTCTAAAGGTAACTTTGCTTGAAACAGTAAAGCCCTCCCAACTTCCAACAAGTGTCTATGTTTTCTCTCCACTACTCCATTCTGTTGTGGAGAATAAACACATGTGGTTTCATGTAGTATACCTTTCATGTTGAAGAATCCAGATAATTCCTTCTCAAGGAACTCCCTTCCATTGTCTGTCCTAATTCTCTTAACCTTATAGCCAAATTGAGTCTCAGCCATGTTAATGAAACCAGTTACCAGCTTTCCCACTTGTGATTTGTGCATCATCATGAATACCCAAGTCCCTCTGCTGAAGTCATCTACCACAGTGAGAAAGTAAGGTGTCTTGGTGAGGGCTTCCTCTCTGCAGGGTCCCCATATGTCCATGTGCAACAGCTCTAAACATTTTTCTGTGTGAATATCACTGACTGGAAAAGGAAGTCTATGTTGTTTGGCCTTGAAGCAAATATCACAGGCATGTAATGACCTCTCACTTTTCTTGTCACATTTGTCTTTCAGAAACCTTAAATGCTTCATGGCATTGAATGATGCATGCCCTAAATTTCTGTGCCAAGCCTCTACAGATAGATTACACTTAGCAGCATCTTCATTTCCCTGTCCTACCTTCTCATATATGTACAGACTGCCCTTTAACCTTGCACTTCCAACAATCTCTCCTGTTATCTCCCTTCTCAAGTGGCAATTGGAGTTTGAAAAAGAGAATCTCAAATGTTCTTTCTCACACAGCTGCCTAACTGAGAGCAAGTTGTACTTAAAGGTTGGCAGCAACAACACATCATGTAGTGTTATATTATCATCAAGTACTACATCACCTTTATACTTTACCTCTTTCATGCTACCATCTGGGAGGTATACTGTAACTCCATTTGTGAGTATTCTCACATTTTTCATCTGCCTTTGATCTTTACAGATATGTCTACTTGCTCCTGTGTCCACTATCCATTCCTTTCCATGATTATCATCTAATATAGACAATGCATAATGCATAGCATTCCCTTCTTCTTCTGTGAAGCTCACAAATTGAGCATAATCAACCTTGCTCTCTGAAGTTTCTTTATCCTTGATGTATTTTGTCAGTTCATTTAGTTGCTGAATCACTGACTGCAAGTCATTTCCTTTTCCAATATCCTTTGTTTCCTCAGCCCCCCTTGGTCTCTCACCATTGTGATAAACTGCAGCATTGTTCACATAAGATCTCCCTTGTTGCTCCCTGTACTCTTTGTACCATTCTGGAATTCCATGTACCTTAAAACAGGTGGCTATAGTGTGGCCATGCATACCACATTTGTCACATACCAGCTTTGCCTTCTCCTCTTTGGTCATCCTATAACCTCTTCCCTTTCCTCCTGCTGACCCTTGTGTTGTGTATCCACCTCTTCCTCCTCTATTATAATTCACAGACCCTCTACCATAAGCATCTACTTTGGCCACCATTGCTGAATTGTCAATCCTTTCTCCATATTCATTTTGCACAGTCCTTTGCCTTTCTGCTGAGAGAACCATGGAGTAAGCTTTGTTTACTGTAGGTAAAGGATCAATAAGCATGATTTGGCTCTTCAAACTGTCATAGCTATCATTAAGTCCCATCAGAAACTGAATTAGCTTTGTTTCTGAATCCTGTTGTACCACAAATTTCCTCTTGTCACAGTTGCAAATCTGAAGAGGAGCTACACAACTATACTCATCCCAAAGCTTTTTTAGCTTATTAAAATACTCCATAACAGATCGATTTCCTTGACAATGATTGGAAATTTTTCTCTGTATTTTATATTTCAAAGGCCCGTTGTTTTCCCCAAAGCGTTGGCAAATATCCTCCCACAGTTCTTTCGAGGTTTCCGCATACACAAACGATTCAGCTATATCCTTTGACAGAGAGTTCAGAATCCAAGACAAAACTGTTAAATCTACCTTCTTCCATTCACCATATCCTTCATCATTTTCATCCGGTTTTTCGATTTCACCATTAATGAACCCTAGCTTAATCTTAGCACCCAAAGCTATCATAATCGACCTTTTCCAAGAGAGAAAATTGTTACCAGAGAGCGGATGGGAGATTAACAGCAGACCAGGATGATCTGAGCTACCGAGTGCAAAAGGATCCTGTTTCGCGTCCGATTTCTGCGCCATTGTTGAATAGAAGCTGGATTTGAGTTTCTGAACTGGAGATTAGCTTTCGATCTTCACCGATTTACCAGAATTCAGCTCGAGATGAATCGCCCAAGCTCGCCCGCTCGTGATACCATGTAAAATTTGAAAGAAGCAGAACAGATTTTGGGGAGAAAATTTTCTCCTATTGTTTCATTTTCATTACGTCCGTACAATCATGCAAAGAGCATTTATACACATGCATTACGTCTTACAAGCAAAACGACGTCGCATGCTGTTTTGTTTTAATGAAGTAAAAGAAAAGAAAAACGCAACAACTGGAAACACGACTAACTTTAAAATAACAGAAAAATAAAAGAAACAAAAAAAGTAAAGAGAGAGCCTATATGCTAAC